CGTTCGCTTCGCCTCCCACGTTTGCTTCGCCTCTCGCGTTCGTTTCGCCTCTCGCGTTCGCTTCGCCCCCCAGTTTCGCTCCGTTCGCTTCGCCCCCCACTTTAGCTTCGCTTCCCACATTCGTTTCGCCTCGTATTTATGCGTGGTTCCCCACTTTGATTTCGCCTCGTAGTTTCGCGCGTCGGTTCCCTCATTCGTTTCGCCTCCCTCCTACTTTCGCTTTGCCTCCCGCGTTCGCTTCGCCCCCCACGTTCGCTTCGCCCCCCGCGTTCGCTTCGCCCCTCCCCCCCACCCACCCACCCACCACCACTTCGCGTCGCCCCCCACGTATCTTCGCCCCACACTTTCGCCCCCCGAAGCGCGCGGGCATGCGTGTTTTTTTCTGGGCCTGCCTATTTGACCCCCTCCGCGCTGCAGTTTTCTTCCGCGTTGTAGGGACCCGCCCGTTAGACCCCCTCCGCGCTGTACTTCGCGTTTTCTCTGGGCCTGCCTATTCGACCCCATCCGCTCGGCATTTGTCGCTCTGCGGGGCCATGCCTATTTGACGCCCGCACATCGCGTTCTGTTTGGGCTTTCCGATTGCCCCGTCCGCGCGGTAGTTATCGCTCTGTAGGGGCCTGGGCCTGCTTATTTGGCTTTCCTTCCGCGTTGCACTTCGCGTTCGTTTTGGGTCTGCCCACTTGGCCCCTTCCGCGTTGCATTATTCGTTTTGTGTTCGCTCATGGAGATGCTCACTGCTTCAGAGAGTCCGCGTCCTCCTGGGCCCCGTGGCTCGAGCAGACCTGTCGCCCCGCCAGCGCGATCAGCGCCCGACTTCCGGCACGGCCGCACGCGCGACCACCAGCACGACCGCCAGCACGACCGCCAGCACGACCACCAGCGCGACCACCAGCACGACAACGACCACGACAACCAGCAATAGAGCAGCGAGCCCACCGTCCCGAGTACCACCAGGATCACCAGCCCGACCGCCAGCACGACCACCCGCACGACCACCAGCACGACCGCCCACCGGCACCATCACCAGCACAACGACCACCATGACCAGCATCACGGCCACCAGCACACCAACGGGCACGATGTCGAACACAAACACCAGCACGACCACGAGCACGACTACTAACACAGCTGCCCTCCGTGGCTCGTCCTGCGACCACAAACTATTCAATCGCGGTGGGATATGAGATCCCCGCTCTTGCGCCAAGGATGCGGGCGAGGGACAAGATGTTGTGGCGAAGCGAAGCGAAGCGAGCCAACAATATATTGTATATATATATATATATATATATTCACATCTACATAGTTATAAAGAAAGAGAGGTAAAGGAATACATAACTATACACATATATACACATATATATACATATATATATGTGTGTGTATGTAGTTAAGTCGGGCCTGTCCCGCTACAGGCGGAATGTTCAAACATAGACAAAGCATAGTTATGTGTGAAAATGATTTGAATGTGGTGTGTTGATTTTGATATGTCGACTAAAATCCGCCTGTAGGAGGACATGCCCGACCTAATAATATTTCTCTCTCTCTCTATATATATATACATACCTAGTTACATATATACATATATATAGCGAGAAAGAGAGAGAGAGAGAGAGAGAAACAAAAAAAACTGGATATCCATATATATATATATATAGATATAGATATATGTATATATACACAAGACTGCAGTGGCGCTTCGCGCCATGCACCTTGGTCCTTGAGGTTTGGATTGCAGGCGGAATAGCAGGAAGATCAAGCCGACAATTTAGCGATAACTCCTTGTTGCCTTTTCCGGCATCGCCGCTATGATAATGATATGTGTTATCCTTCCTCCATGTTTCTTTTTCTTCATGTTCGCCATACCCTGCACATTCTCCCTCTCCTCCTCAGATTTTTTTTGGCGGAGGCTCCTCCTGGGAGAGTCTCTGGGGGCCTGAAAAAATTGTCTCAGGCTTTCTTAAGGCCTTCTGGAGGCCTCCTGGGCGTATTCTGGGGGCCTCTGGGGGCTTCCTCGGGCCACCCTGCCTCCAACCACGGTCTCCCTGAACGACCAGGTCACGATTTGGAATGCTTCGGAGGGTGTCTTGGGGCCATCTTGGGCCGCCAGGGGGCTCTCTGAGGGCCATCTTGGACCCGTGTTGTGCCGTGGCTCTCTTGGACTGCCTGGAAGCCCTTTCGGATGGTTGTGGGGCGATTTTGGAGCCTCCCAGGTGGCTTCGGACGCCCAGAAGACCGCCGTCTTGGAGCGTCGGGAAGCCGAAAAAAGGAGAACCCCAAAATTCACCAAAAACTATCAGAAAATCAATTATTTTCGCCTCTTGGGAGTGCTCTTGGAGGCCTCTTTGGGGCCGTCCTGGAGGCCGCTTGGGCCATCTTGAGGTCACGTCAGTCACTCTTGGAGCGCTCTTGCGCTGTCATGGGGGTCTCTGAGACGTCTCCGATGACCCCCCGTCGTGATTCGTTCGCACCGCGAGGGCGAGGGGGCGGCTCGGGCCCGCGCAGGAGCGGTGCGCCGAGGTGACGTACCGCACCCGGCTGTGCACGAGCGACGCCCAGGCTGCGGAGTGCCGCGGGGTGGGGCCGGAGCTGGCCCCAGGAGAGGCCTCCAAGAGGCTCCCGAGAGGCCCCATGCGAGGCCCATCAAGAGGCTCCCCGAGGTCCCCAGCTCTCCCTCCCTCTCCTTCTTCTCCTCCGTCTCGTCCTCCTCGTCCTCGCTCTCCTCCTCCTCCTCCTCCTCCTCCTCCTCCTCCTCATCCTAGTATTCTTCCTCCTCCTCCTTGGGCTTGGGAGGGCGTCCAGTAAGGGAGGTGAGGGCCAGGGGGGTGAGGACATCATAGCCTCGGCGTCACCCCAACATGCTAATACCATGTGTGCGTCGCCCCCCCCCCCAGGGGCCGCGCGCGCTGGCCGAGAGACATCTCATACCATATACGTCCTGGCAGGCTCTGTCTGGCCCCACCGCTCGGGAAAAACGATCTACTCAAGGATGGGAGCACGATCACGTTCGGGTCGGAGGCGCGCCGGGATGTCTGCGCGCGCCCCATGGCCGGGGCAGTGAGATCACTTCGTGTCTCATGGCCTCCTCCTCCTCCTCCTCCTCCTCCTCCTCCTCCTCCTCCTCCTCCTCCTCCTCCTCCTCCACCATCTCCTCCTGCCCCTCCTCCCCCACCCCCTCTTCCGCCTCCTCCTCCTCCTCCTCCTCCTCCCCTCCTCCTCCTCCTCCCTCCCCTCCCACCCCCCCCCCCCCCCCCCCGGGGTTCCTTGCCCCCCCCCCCCGGGGGTCCCGCACGTGCCCCGTCGGGCCACGACCTGCGGACCCCCTTCTTGGACGCCCCCCTTCCTTGGACGCCCCATGGGGAGCGCAGCCGAGGGTAAGCCTGGAGCTCGCCCCGGACTCTTCCAGCCGGGGGCGCGCCAAGAAGGGTGCCACGAGGACGCCGACGTCGTCGAGGCGCGGGGGGGAGGGGCAGTTTCCGCTGGCTCGTGGACGCTTTTTCTCGCCTCGGCAGGCTCTCCAGCGGCTGCCGCCTGGTCGAGAGCGCTCCCAGGGTGCCCAGCTCGTCCAGGCGGCCGTTGGAGCCTCGAGTTCTGCGACCAGGAAGCCAGCAGGGGCCATGGAATCTCCCAGACTTCGTGGTCCCCTCCTCCCCCTCCTACTCCCTCTCTCCCCCCCCCTCCTCCTCCTCCTCCTCCTCCTCCTCCTCCTCCTCCTCTCCTCTTCCTCCTCCTCCTCCTCCTCCTCCTCCTCCTCCTCCTCCTCCTCCTGCTCCCTCCTCCTCCACATCTCCTCTGCCCTCCTCCCCCTCCTCCCCTCCTCCTCCTCTCCTCCTCCTCCTCCTCCTCCTCCTCCTCCTCCTCCTCCTCCTCCTCATCATCATCCATCATCATCATCATCTCATCATCAGGGCTCCCTCGAGGGTGCGAAGTTATTCGCGCTTCGCGTCTGGCCGACGTCAGAGCGAGGCGCGAAGTTATTCGCGCTTCGCGGTCTGAGCCTACGACGGCTTCCAGAGCGAAGGTAGACGCGCCTCGCATCCTTGGGGCTAGGCCATTGAGGGATTGCATCGCAGGCTTCGCGGTCTGGGCGACGTCAGCGCGAGGCGCGAAGTTGTTCGCGCTTCGCGCAGAGCCCGTAGAGTTTGGATAAGGCTTTCGTAGTGGGCCAGTGAGTTAGGATAAGGTTTTCGGAGGGGGGCCCAGGGGTTAGGATAAGGTTTTCGAGCGGAGCCCACGGAATTCGGAGCAGGTTTTCGCGCGGAACCCTTGGAGTTGGGATAAGGTTGTCGTAAAGGGCCAGTGAGTTAGGATACGGTTTTCGTAGGGGGGCCAGGGGTTAGGGCAAGGTTGTCGCATGGAGCCCAAGGAACTCGGATCCGGTTTTCGCTCGGAGCCCATGGAGTGTGGATACGGTTCTCGTAGTGGGGCCCGTGAGTTAGGATAAGGTTTTCGCCGTGGGACTTGGGCGTTAGGATAAGGTTTCCGCGCAGAGCCGTGGGAATTCGGACTAAGTTTTCGCGCGGAGCCCAAGGAGTTTGGATAAGGTTTTCGTAGGGAGCCAGTGAGTTAGGATATGGTTTTCGCAGCGCGCCCTGGGCGTTAGGGTAAGGCTCAGGGCTCCGCCAGAAAGCCTACGAACTCCATAGGTTCTGCGCGGAACCTAATCCACATTCCAAGGGCTCCGCCCGAATACCTTATCCTAGCTCCCAACCCCCCTACGAAATCCTTATCCTATCTCACTGGCCCCCCTAAGAAAACCATATCCGAACTCCATGGGCTCCGCGCGAAAACCTAATCCGACTTCCTTGGGCTCCGCCCGAAAACCTTATCCTGACTCCCAGCCCCCCTACGAAATCCTTATCCTATCTCACTGGCTCCCCTACGAAAACCATATCCGAACTCCATGGGCTCCGCGCGAAAACCTAATCCGAATTCCTTGGGCTCCGCCCGAAAACCTATCCTGACTCCCGGGCCACCTTACGAAAACCTTGTCCTAATCCGCTGGCCCCCCTACGAAAACCATATCCGAACTCCACGGGCTCCGCGCGAAAACCTAATCTGAATGCCTTGGTCTCCGCCCGAATACCTTGCCCTAACCCCTAGGCCCCCCACGATAACCTTATCCTAACCCACTGGTCCCCATACGAAAACCAGATCCGAACTCCATGGGCTCCGCGCGAAAACCTAATCCGACTTCCTTGGGCTCCGCGCGAAAGCCTTATCCTAATTCCCGGGCCCCCCTACGAAATCCTTATCCTAATTCACAGCCCCTTCACGGAAACCATATCCGAATTCCACGGGTCCGCGCGAAAACCTAATCTGAATGCCTTGGTCTCCGCCCGAATACTTTGCCCTAGCTCGCTGGCCCCCCTACGAAAACCATATCCGAGCTCCACGGGCTCCGCGCGAAAATCTAGTCCGAATTCCTTTGGCTCCGCCCGAAAACCTTATCCCAAATCCCGTGCCCGCCTTCGAAAACCTTATCCTCACCCACTGGGCCCAATACGATAACGCGTATCCGAACTCCATGGGCTCTGCGCGAAATCCAAATCGGAATTCCTTGGGATCCGCCCGAAAACCTTATCCTAACTCTCGCCCCCCCCCGCCGACGAAACCTTATCCAAGCTTATTCCCCCTTGCGAACCTCATTCGAATTCCTTGGGCTTTGCGCAAAAACCTCATCATAATTCTTGGGCCCCCCTGCGAAAACCTTATCCTAACTCACTGGCTCCCATGCGGAAACCATATCCGAACTCCATGGGCGCCGCTCGAATACCTAATCCGAATGTCTTGGACTCTGCGCGAAGATCTCATCGGAATTCTTGGGGCCCTCTACCAAAACCTTATCCTACCCAACTGGGCGCCCTACGAAAACCATATCCAGACTCCTGGGGCTCCGCGCGAAACCTACTCCGAATTGGTTGGTCTCCGCTCGAAAGCCTTTTCTTCATGTTACGAAAACCTGTTCAGAAATCACTGGGCTCCTTACGAAAAGCATTCCCAACTTCGAGGGCCGGCGTTCCTCCCTCATCGTCCTCTGTCCCCACGTCCACCTCAGTCCTCATCCTCTGCATGCCTTGCGGGCCTCGGACTCTCCCATCGCCCCACGCCCTTGCCTTGTCCCCCGGGGGGAAGCGCGAAAGGCTCGAAGTTATTCGCGCTTCGCGATCCCCTCGTCTTGTCCCGGGGGGGGGGGGCGCAAAAGCGCGAACTTATTCGCGCTTCGCGCAGCGCGAAGCGCGAAGCTAGGAGCCCTTACTCATCATCATCATCATCATCATCATCATCATCATCATCATCATCATCATCATCATCATCATCATCATCATCAGCATCAGCATCAGCATCAGCATCAGCATCATCATCATCCTCACCATCACCATCACCATCACCATCACCATCACCATCATCATCATCAGCATCAGCATCAGCATCATCATCATCATCATCATCATCATCGTCATCATCATCATCGTCATCATCATCATCATCATCATCATCATCATTATCATCATCATCATCATCATCATCATCATCATCATCGTCCTTCTCCCTCCTCCTCCACCATTTCCTCCTCCCCCTCCTCCCTCTATCCCCCTCCTCCTCCTTCTCCTCCTCCTCCTCCTCCTCCTCCTCCTCCTCCTCCCCCATCCCCCTCCTCCTCCTCATCCTCCACCTCATTCTCCTCAGCATCCTCGGGTCGCGTACGGCCCCGAGGGAAACCGTGCACCCCCGGGGCTCACGCCCTGATGTCTCACGCGGTGCGCTTCACCCGTGGCGTCGGGTCGCAAGGGGGGGGCCCCCATCCCGGGCCGTTCCCCGTTCGCCCTGTGCCCCGGTTCGTGCAGCACAGAACGAGAGAGAGAGAGAGAGCGAGGAGTAGGGGGCGGCGACGCTGAAGCAAGACTTTCGGGTTCTTCCCCTCCCCTCCTCCTCATCTCGACCCTCCGCCTCCTCCTCCACTACCTCCTCCTCCTCTCCCTCCTCCTCTTCCTCATCCTCCCTCCTCCGACGGCGAGTTGTGACAAACTAAGGGCCAAGGGTGGGCCTTGCAAATAACAACCCTGAACACGAATTCTTTTGCTACCTTTAAGGCGAACTATGACCATGAGTCTGGTTGTTTTCAATTCCCTGAGGCTTCGGTTCTTCTCCTGCAGGAAACCCTGTTAAAGGACGAGGAAGCCATTATTCCGTCTGCCAAGGAATGGTGTTCCGCTCGTGGTTGGCTTGGGTATTTCTCTATGGCTGCAGTGTTAGAATCGGGAGTGGCTTCTGGAGGTGTGGCTATCCTATTAAGGGCGGGGCAGGATCTTGGAGCTAGTCCTGTACCTGTAAGGTTTTCTATGCCGCACCGCATTTGTGCCCTGAAGATTGACATCCCTGGGCTCCCCAAGTTTTGTCTCGTTTCTTTGTACATGCAGACGAGTGTTGGGCTTAACGCTACAAGCCTTGAACTCTTGGAAGATAATGCAACTCTGCAGGAGAAGGTTCAGCTCCCTGTCATGATTGCAGGAGATTGGAACATGAAGGCCCTGAAGCTCGAGACTTCGGAGTTCCTG